CGCCGTTCATTTCGAAACAGGACCAAATTCGACAAAATGGCGAGCGTCGCGTCGACTGGCTCGGGATCGGACGGCGAGAGTGAGCCTGCCGAGGCACGCTCTCCGGAGATACACGTCCCGGAATCGCGGAATACGTCTACGTGTGCTCCCCCGTTAGAGCAGCGCTGTTACACAACGTGGGGTGCATTTTTTTCGGCGTTGGAGCAGTACCAAGAGCAGACCCACCAAGTGTTCCGTAAGCGTACCTCTACAAGTGCTGCATCTAGGAATGCTGAATTAGCGAAGCGAGGCAAGCTGACAGAGACGACAAGAATTCCTGATTCGTTCGACAAATACTACCGGCGACTTTGTTGCACGCATGGCTGGAGTCGGCCCAGTCGGTCTACTGGCAAGCGCTCCAACTACTTTGTCAAGTCGACGGGGTGCGAGGCTCAGATCTCGGTTACAGTGGTGTGGTCAGGAGATCATGGTTTTCAAGTGAAGATAACCCAGCAGAACACGACGCACAACCACGGCCTCGGACCAGACAAGTATAACAACCACCCTGCCAATCGACGTATAGATGATGAAGAGATGCTTGATTTTGTCGACGAGCTACAAGCTGCTGGAGCAAAAAAGAAGTTGATACTTGCATTTTTGCGGCGTCGCTCAGGTACTAGTACTATCATTTGCTGTTTTTTATTGCTATAATATTGCTGAACTAATCTGTTTCATCTGGCAGGCAAGCAGGTAACCCTACGTGACGTGCACAACATGGTGCAGAAGCTTAAGGAACAACGCCGAGGATCTACTACTGTTGAAGCAAGGTTAGAGTCCAGCCTTAGAGACTTCTGCTTGCGAAAAGGAAACACGGCTACCATCTACGTGGATGATGACAAGTTGGCTCAAGTAATTACTTTCCAGACTCATCAAATGCGGCGCTTTTTCGAAGCTTTTCCTGAGGTTTTGATGATCGACGCGACTCACAACACTAACGACGCCAGATACAAGCTTTTCAGTTTCATGATTCACGACGTTTTTGGCCATGTAAGAGCGCTTCATCTATCTTTCACGTGTCTGACCGTCTAATGTTGCTCGTTGTGTTTGTTTGCACGGTGACTACTTGTGACTATTGTGGCTTGTTGACAAATGTGTGACTTTTGTGGCGATTTACTGCGGCATTGTGGTGCTTTGTGATTTACGTGGTCGCGTTGTGGCATTTTGTGGTTTTGGTGTGGCGATGTGGCATTTTGTGACTTTGTGGTTTTTGTGTGACTTGTGGCACACAGGGCCAATACGTGCAGCATGCCCTTATGGAGAACGAGAGTGCAGAGTGTCTTTCCGATGCGATCACATCTTTCAAGTCATTTAACGCGACGTGGGATGACGTCCGTGTAATCATCGTCGATAAGGACTTCGGAGAAATTTCGTTACTGCAATCTGCTTTTCCGGCTGCGCGAATTCTCTTTTGTGTATTCCACGTTGTTAAGTATTTACGGACCGAGATGGCAAAGCGTGTGTACGGACTTCTTGATCGTGAAAAGATCGAAGATGCTGTTCATATGATGCTAAGTGCGCAAACGGAAGGCGAGTATGAAATTGGTCGAAAGTATTTGTACTACATCGTGGAAGGGAAACAAATTTTGAAAGATGAAGAAGTACCGGAGCCGGAGCACACATTCTTACAATACTTTGACTCGAATTGGCACCAGTGCAGAGAAATGTGGAGCGGCTTTGGGCGTGTTGACGTCCCGCATTTAGGAAACACAACCAACAATCGCCTTGAAGCAGCATGGGGTCATTTAAAGGATGTGTTGAAGCCAACAATGATGCTGGACGAGTGTGTAGATACGCTAATGTTTTTGCAGTCGATAGCTGAACTTGAGTACGCAAAGAAGATGACGGATGTTGGATATATGCGTTTTCAGTGAAGAGCAGTTCGGGATCATGCATGACTACTACACGACAATGCAAATCTTTGCGTCTGTTGGTGCCACAGCGGAATGGATAAGAGCCACATCGCTGAATCGTCTCGCGATACCCGCCGGACTTCGTGAGTACGCTGACCTTGACAAAGAGGCCGCAGCGATTGCCATACAGAAGATGATACTACCGCTGACGAGGCCATCGCCATTTGGTAAGGTTCTCAAACGATCTCTTTTGCTTTTTCGTGATGAAGAATGGATAAATGATGACTGTCTGCTGCATGCAATGACAACAATTCAAGAAGAGCATGGCACAACAGGAATAATTTCACCCTCATTCTTTGGAACGGTTAACGTGGAGTCACAGTACACGATAATTGCCGCAACTCAGCCATTTCACGCAAGCAACGAGTATGTACTACTCCCTATCCATCTCAACAACAATCATTGGTGTGGAGTAGTTTTTGACATTAAATCACAGACGCTTACCTTCTTCGACCCGATGCAAAAGGAGGATCAATATGTCGAGTGTGAAAAAATTGTCAAGGATCTGTTTTCCGACACGACGGAGGCAATGATATCAAGACGTGAGCACCGCATGAAACAAAAATAAATCACCAACTGCGGTCCGCTAGTTCTACTGTTTTTCGAGTGCGCTGTGCGTAATTTAGCGCTGCCGACAACATTACCGAAGAACCTCTTGCGCTACATCAGATTGCGTTTTCTGATGAAGTCGCTTTTCGCCTAGGTTCAACTAGCGTTCAAGAACGTGTATGTGCCTTTCAAACGAGATATCGAATCAACCTTATGTGAAGCTGCATCTTATAAGTAGCCACGAATATGTCTGCATAACTAGGACTGAGGCGGCCGGCACGTCGTCTCCTTTAAGAACCATAAATGCTTTCGTCTTGCATGCGTGTTCGCGAGCTCGCGCGCCCGTTTTTCGATTCTCTTCATGACCATGCAGCATGCCGTGCTGCATGGGATAGCGTAAGCACTTCTCCACCATGTATCTGCTTTCATGAGTCCATCAGCAACCGCTACAAATCTCCATGTCCGACCTGGAACCACGTTGTTGGTACTGTTGGCAAGGCACGAGCTGCGCGGCCATGCCCATAAACATGCTCTTACGTCGACTCTGCGGTGGTCTTGACAGCGCTGTACGACTGGGTGATGCCCACATTGCATGGCTCTCGGGCACTTGGTCACATGTCCAACGCTGGATAGCTTGTTCGAGACCTTCAGCACGGCGGCACAGCCTCCATGCAAAGCAAATCACGTCGTGACGAGGACGTCCCCTCCCCGTGCTACTTGCATCTCGGACGCTTGTTTCCATCGTCTTCATCCGTCATTCCTCGCGCGTCCGCAGCGCCCGCGTCGCCTCTCACTGCGGCAGAAATCTGACTGCGCGAAGTCTTGCGTACAGTCGTGCAACACGACCATTAGCACAACTTTCGCAGCACATTTCGGTATGCGCAAGCACGCGGCACGGGCTGAAATTTTTGAGATATATCGGGTAATTTATTTTGATAGTGTGCCCTTTTGTGGCTTTGTGACGCTAGTATTCGCCACACAAGACGGAGTGCCGTGTCTGTGTCACTGATATGCGCTTAAGTACGAAGTCACACTCTTATTGTGTGACTCTAACACTGGTCATAGTTCCTCAACTCAGAAAATAGATTATTGGTGCAGCAATATTGGTACACAGCGAGGGCACAAGTACTAAAGAAAGTATGGCTGTTTGAACACCGCCCAATAGATTATTGGTGCTACAACGAAGCGAAAATAAATAATTAGAATTCCTCTTTAGAAAGCCTCCAATAAATAATTGGTGCTTTCTTTTTGCAATAATTGCAGCACCAATTTATTTTTCGGCATCCCTGCCCTCGGTCGCGTACAGAATGTCAAGGATCGACAGGCCAAGCAGGTTGGTCTGTGCAGACGTTGTCTTCGATAGCTCGGCGTCATGCACCAGCTCCGCTATCGTCTCCAATCTGTTGATGTAAAAGACGCGTTTGTCCTTGATCCGTTCAGCCTGGGCCACCATCAGGCACTTCAGCAGCAAACCCACACTTGTTGACTGAAGCCGTACCTTCTCACGAAGAGCGTGAAGCTCCACCTCGAGAGCTATCTTCTCCTCCGCTAGTCCGGCAGTCTCGATTTTCATGTTCTCCATCTTCTCCAGCATCGCAGTGATCTTCGTCTGCTCTGCATCGGTCGAACACCGTCGCCTGTTGGCAGCAACCCCCCCCTCTCTTCTTGACGAGAGAGCTACCAAGCATTTTGGTTCTACAAAACGCCACCTTTTCCTTTAGCACGCCGTGCACATGCGTCGTAGGGCTGCTGGGGAGACTCGTGGCCGTCGTAGAACGCCTTGAACCACTGCAGGGAGTCAAAATTGTCTTGGTATCTACCGCTGATGAGCTTGTCCACAGCGATCTGCTTGTCGATGTGGAGAGCGAGGAAAATCTGCTGCAGTAGCTTGTAGTTGTGCAAACACTCATACGGCTGCGTGGCCGTCCAGTCCACATAGTTCATAAAAAGCTTGCCAGGGTACAACACGTCCAGCACTTGACACGCCACGGCACCCGAGCTCGTCTGCTCTACACTCGTCAGCTGAGTCACGCCAGCGTATTCAACCAGGCGAGGAGATCCGTCCTGCTCACAATATGCGTGCCGCTCATGCTGCTCGAGAGACGAGAATTGGCCCAGATAAGGCGCCATCGTCCACCGCTCTTCTCATTGTGTTCGAGAATGCACTCACCTGATAATTTAAATCAAGGTTTTAGCCAATCATCATCTCTTATTATCATCTCATAATTACCAATCGGTTGGAATTCTGCGCTGACAGCAGCTCGCGCGACCATCACTCTTTGCCCGCACTCGCCGTCAACCATAGTGCTCGACGCGCAGGCCCACAGAGGCCGCAAGCGCCCGCGGGAAGCGCTCTCTCACCTTCCCACAAGGCGAAAAATTACGATGGAGGCGCCCGACGACAAAGAGAACCAGCCGCCTGAGTCCACAATCGAGTCGTTAAAGAAGGAGCTCCCGTTGCCCACAATGCGGTATACAGACAGGTATACTCCAGGCAAGCCAATGCAAATATTGCACTTCGGTGAAAACGCGCGCTCGCTGTTTATGCTGGATAAACCCTCGGAGAAGCGACTGCGGCTAGTGATCGCGCTCAAAAAAGCCCCGCTGTCGGTTGATGCGTGGCTGGAGCTGATGCGCTATCCATTGACTGGAAATTCCGCCAAGTACAACAAAATACGATTGCTGAAACGTGCGCTGACCTGTGTGGACTCGTTGGAGGCGCGACAGACTGCGGGATACACGGAGATGTGCATTATGCTGGCCAAGCTGAGCGAGTACGTGGGTGATGACACTGACTTGATTGGAGTAAAGCTGACATAATGTTTGCACTTGTAGTACTGAGGCTGGAGTGCGCCAGCACTTTCACGAGATGAAGAAGCGACGAGTGGGTGAGAAGCAGCCGCTGTTGTATGAGGAGGAGGCGGCTTTTGAGTATGCGGCAGGGAACAAGGACGCAGCGGAGGAGGTTCTGGAGCGAGGAGTGGACAATGACGCACTCACGCCGGCTCAGAAGGAGCAGCTGCTGAAAAAGATCACTGCAGGCAGAGCAGGTTGGGTTGCGGCTTTCTCGGGCTCTCCACAAGAGCAAAAGGTGCTCGCATTGAGAACACTGCGGCGAACGCAGGAAAGCAACGCAGAGGATACACTCAGGACACATAGTAGTGGAGCCACTACTCCACGCGTGACGACACCGCTTCATCTGTCGATTATTCCTGAGGAGACGACGCCAATTAGCCGAGGACGAGACGGCCCAGTGGTAGCTTCTCTCCGTACAGCGACAACCCCATCTAATGCAACGCCGGTGGTAGGATCAGCTCGTGCCGTGGCAACACCGTCTAATGCTACACCACTTAGCCAAACTCGAAATGGAGCAGGCTTTTCGACTGCATCGAAAGCGCCGCATAGTTCGAACAAGTCACCGCTGCTCACGACACCCTCAATCCCCACGCGGCCAAGTCTTAAGACGCAGTCCACATCCCGAAAAATCCACCATCCGCAGCTACGCTTTCAGCTTGGTATAGTGTTTTTGTTTGTGCAGCTGGCATCTAGGTGAACTAATGAGTGTGCTCGTGCTGATATCTGATTACAGGGGGCCCAGCGCTTCGAGTGGCTGCTTCCAATGCAAACGAGAGCAACGACGACGACGACGATGATGATGATGCTATGATGGGGAGTCAAGCAACACCAACCAAACGGGTAGCAAGCAAGGCAATTACACCTATAAATGTTTGTGCTGTATTTGTTGATCCTTTGTACTAAAGCTAATTCATCGTTTTGACCTCAGACGACTGCGAATCCTGCAAGTAGTTTTCCAACTATCACGACGGAAACAAAGAAGAAACCGAAGATTAATGTGGGTGATATTAATCATATCTTGCAGTGGGACCCCGAGAAAGAGAAGCTGTGGAAAAAGAAAACCCCTCAGACAACTTCTACTGGTGACAAGGATATTAAGGTCTCGATGGATGCACCAGCAAAGCCTACCGCCATGAATGTGACATTCAAGACTTCAGTGGAGGAAATGCCACCCGAAAAAGCCACTATGACGGTGGTGGAGCTGCCATCCAAAGCAAGCGCTGGAGTGGAGCTACCATCGAAAGCGAGGACAGAAGGAGAATTACGGCCGGAGAGTAGAGACGTATCACCAGTACCGACGAGCACATCTATGACTGGCAGTAAATCCTCTGCCCCTGAAACTCGCTCCCCACGAGTGCATAGACCATTCCCATGGGAAATTAAGGCAAATACAGCACGAGCAGATCCGCAAGTACGATCGAGCACCACACCACGCGCAGTCGATTTTTATCGCTCTCCGAAGCGTCAACAACTGGATCCAGCTGTAAGTTCAGCAACAAACTATGCCGACTCGAGCTCACCAAGCTCTGTATCGTCGTCGTCGTCCCCGCCAGTGGCTTCAATGGACAGTGCTTCATCACGAGATGCACTGGAGTCATTGACGAGCAAAGTTGTGGTACGTGCCGACTGGGCTGCGTATCTGACAACACTGAGTGAAGAAACTGATTCAACTTTTTTTATGTACAGGTAAACGGACAAAAGTATATTAAGCTAGAGCAGATTGGCAGTGGTGGGAGCAGCAAAGTCTTCCGGATGTTGGGACCAGATCTCAAGATTTACGCGCTGAAAAAGATCAAGTTGAAAAAGCTGGATGCTCAAAGCATTGCCCAGTTCACAAATGAGATTGAATTGCTGAAAAGGTTGCAAGGGAGCCCCTACATCATCAGGCTGATTACTGCCGAGCAGGACCTCCAACAGCGGCAGATCAACGTGGTATGCTCGTGCATGATTCTTGTGGTGTGTGAACATCGTGCTTACACTCTGAATTGATGTTCGCTTGCTAGATTATGGAGCACGGGGAAATCGATCTTAGCAACCGTCTTCAACACTTGAAGGGTGGCATGGATGAGAATATGGTGCGAGTCATCTGGACTCAAATGCTTCAAGCTGTGGACGCTATTCACCAAAAGCGAATTATCCATGGTAAGGGTACAGTGCTAACGGGGTGCTGTTCTAGGGTAATGCTTTCGACTTTGACGATTTTCGTGCTAATTTGTGAAATTTCATTCATGCGTCAGGTGATCTTAAACCAGCAAACTTTTTGTTTGTGAACGGCGCGCTCAAACTTATTGACTTCGGAATCGCGAAGACGATCTCGAATGACACGACAAACATTGAACGCGATAGCCAGATTGGAACAGTCAATTTCATGTCCCCTGAGGCGATTCAGGGCAACTCACTCCCAAATGGTCAGCGCGATCCCAGAGGGAAAATGAAGGTACGACAAAAGACCAAGCTAGAGACGAACGAAGACGACAACGTGCTCACGCTTTGTCTGATGATTAGGTTGGACGTGCAAGTGACATTTGGTCGTTAGGGTGCATCCTTTACCAGATCGTGTACTCAAAGCCTCCGTTTGGGGACGTACACAACATCATCGAGAAGTTCCGTTGCATTATCGATCCCACAGTGCCAATCAACTTTCCACCGCTGAAGAACAAGGACTTGGAAGACGTGATTCGTTCCTGTTTGCAGCGAGATCATCGTCTCCGACCACCGATCGAAGGAGAAAATGGCCTATTACAACACCCGTTCTTGCGGAGTGGTGGATCAAGCGCCGTCGTATCGCCAACGACCACCGTGACGATGACCAACGCTCCAGAGATTCTTTCCCAGCTCGGTGATTTGCTGCGGTCCCAGGGAGTAGCTACCAGTCGCGTGAACATGTTCATGACTATTGGTCAAGATGGCTTACGAAATGCGGGTATTGGGGTCTCTCAGAGCGGTGTTTCTCAGGCTCCTAGCTACTTTAACAACACGCAGGAGCGACGGACCGATATTTAATTGGAGCTTTGGAGAGCTAACTCGTGGATGGAAGAGTGTTTGTGGTCGAGCGGTGCTGTTTGACTAAGTGAAAACTGTGACGTTGTGAGAGTGGAGCGCGCGTCTTCGTATTTGTACAATAGCTGCATGCTTGGGGCTATTTCCTAGCAACTATGGAATTGACTCGAGACTAAGATTATCGATTCAACTTATTCTGTATGTCCTGCGGAGTTCCCATTACTTGTTAAGGCAAATATATCGTCAGGTGTGGGCGTACATACGCGAAGGGTTTTAGGGTGTCAGGGTCGGATTTGCAATCTGAGATCGGGAGGTGCTGGATGAAGAGGAAATCTTGATATTTACTTGACGCTATCAAGGTACTAAAGGTATACGAAAATCCTCGATATTTTACTTTAGGCTGTTCACTCATCTTGTCCTGCCCTGGGACAGGTAGCCAAATCGCAGCGTCAACGGTTAGCATTTACACTTGCGTCATTACAGGTCTGGCTGTATGCTTTTCAGTTTTACAGAACATCACGTGCGCTGATGTGGAGGCACATCTGAGCAGGACACAAACGCTGTAATTGCTCTCGACTGGCAACTGTTGCCGATGTTGCCGCTACATCCGTGTCTCTCAAGTGTCGCCGATGCCGGCGCTACATGCCGAGGACTTAATCTTGTAAAGTTGCCGAAAAGCGAACTGTATCGACGGTATTGTCAACCTCGTTATGGTGTGGTCAGACCAGACCCATCAAAGGTTTGACCTCTGATGACACCAGTCCCACTGGGACTCCCAGCTGATTCTCTCACTTGGGAATCTTCCCCCCCGAGCATATCAACAAGAGGAAGAAGCTCTGAAAAAAAGTGAAGCTAATGGTTGGAGGTCGCGACGGAGGCCGTCGCGGTGGGAGACAGGGAGGGGGCCGAGGACCTGGCAACCGTAACCAGGATGTTGGTCGAGGACGGGGTCGGGGTCGAGATAGCAGCCAAAGTGGCGAGCGAGGCCGTGGTCGTGAATCCCGAGGAGGGAGACCGGGAGGTGGACGAGCTTCGGGTTTTCGCCCTCCACAGCTTCCGTCCAACCCGTCGACCCTCCAGTTCATTCGCTTGGCGTTGAAGAACTGCCCGAACCACAAGTTGACGAAGACTATCGAGCAAATGGACAAGATGTGGCTCAGTTGCTGGCAAAGTGTCGAGAGTCTTCCTCCAGATGCACTGAAAATGCTTTTATCAGCACTGTCGAGACTGCCGTTTTCGGCTACAATCGCCCCGCCTCCACTTCCTGCAATCAGCAAAGCGGTTAGTACTTTGCTGAACCAGGTGACTCAGTACGGAGGGGGTGATGAGGCGTTCGATGGCAACGACGGGGCCCTTGAGGGTGTCGAACTCGTTGAACGGGTCGTCACGCGGTTGCTGAAGTTCACGTGGGATCTGAAACGAGACGACGTTAAAGACGCGCTGGACGAGATGATTGCAGAGGCGGACTCGACTTTGAACGTTCGGTTGAAGACTCATCGTACAGTACGCGGTCGACTAACAGCATTGCTTAACGAGATGGATAAATTCTGGAGTATTAAGGTGAAAGTACGGGAGCTAACGACGATCGAGCAGGTAGCAACTGCACCGGATTGGCGTCATCCGACGGTGGCGTGGCTAGCAGACTACCGGAACTTTCAGCCGGCTCTTCTCCCCAAGCTGCAGCTTCCTCGTAGTAACGGAGGACGAGTCTACGAAAGCAGTGACGAATATTTCACGACGATCGTGGAACTGTGGATCGGAATGACGTTCGTGGAAGGGAACAACGCGTTGCTGCCGCACTGCACCGTGAAGATGGGGGACAAAGTGTGCGATCAACCATTGTGGCCATTCCCTGACAAGAAGATGTCGCTTCATTGCAGAAATTCACAGTGCGATCGGTACGCGACCTTCGTGTGTGCTCACAGGCAGCACACGAAAGGATATTGCAGCAAGTGTGCGAGTGAATACCAACAGCGACTTCGCGGGCCATCGTCCAAGTACGCGTCGACACACATCTACGATGGGTTCATTGCTAACGTTAAATACGACGGAACAATGTCGATTGAGCAAGTGGCATCACGTCGCCCGCCGTTGAAGCCTATTCACTGGAGGACGACGAAGCGATTATCAAGCCCCAACCTGATTGGCATCGTGAGACTTGCCAACCGTGAGGCATCGCTGAGAGCTACTGATGAGGTTTACTGGGCGGAGATTGTGTTCCAAGGCAAGAGTTTTGACGAATACAAGGCTCGCGAGCGAGGACGCTTAACGTTGCGTCTGCTGCAGTACCTCGACGAACCGGGCAATGCCTTGCAGACTCACAATCCTGCAGTGGGAGATTCAGTGGCTATTATCGATTGCCAGACGTTTGTTCCGGAGTTTATACCGGTTTTGAAGGCCTTGGAGAAGCAGCGGCAGATGCCCGTGCCATTTCAGAATGGTGCGTTACTCAACCTGTGCGACCATGTGAGTTTTGGGCCGAGTGTGGACGCAGATCGAGCGGACTATGACAAGGATGACAGTGACGGTGATGTGACGGGAATTGCTGATATATCAACGCGTGACTTGATCCGGAAGGTGATTCAGCTGTCACTGCTGGATCCTATCGTTGATATTCGCCGAGATGGAGCACTACGCAGCCGTTTAGAGAGCTCATTGCTGCAGCTGGTGGAAAGCGCGACTCTTGATCCCGGTCAGCTGAGGAGCTTTGCCGAGGCACTGATGTACCCTGTGCATTGCACTCAAGGACCACCTGGTACTGGCAAATCCTACTTGGGAGTCATTGTTGTTCGCGCGTTGCTCGTCATCCGGGACCTCTGGAAACGAAAGAATGGCGAAATTGGGGACCCTCCTATCCTGGTTTTGTCATACAAGAATCACGCGATCGACGAGTTTCTGCTGGACTTGCTGCGGTCGGAGCCTACGCTGGATCATACCCCAAAACGTAGCACGTATTTTGGGAAATATTATCTCAACAACGGCTTTAAGAAGCTCGTCCGCATCGGTGGAGGATGTAGTGAACCCGAACTGGAACCGTATCGTGAACGCAATGTTGCGTTCTCTGACCCCAGTGTTCGGAAGGTCTCCCAGCGGATCGAGGATTGCCAAGACCTGCGTGATCAGTGGCACAAGTTCCGAGACTGCTTTACGCCCATTTATGAGGCACAGACAATTGTTGCTGGTGGAACAGAGTCGTTAGGCTCTGAGGAGTGGAAAACCGTCCAAGGTGCAGTTCCTGCCGTGTCATCTGCGGTGGCGACGCTTTTACATCTGACAGAAAGTATGAACGAGGACGATGAAAAGAAGGCGTTAGCGATTGAAGAACAGGTTCGCGTATGTGACAACAGTGATGAGGAGGATGGTACTGAGGATGCTGCAGCTAAGGCTCTAAAAGGCTTATTGGACGTAAAGCCGAAGCTTTCGCGCGGTGATACGGCAAGCGAGGTTGTGGAAAGTGTGCTAAAAACCAAACCGATGCTGTCTAACGCTGATATTGCGGTGTTGCACAAGGGTATTAAGCACTACGACCTGACCATTGATCCTATGGAAGTGCTGTACCGGTGGATTTCGGGTTTTCGTCCACTACCGGCGTGTGCGTACTCGGAATCCTGCTTAAACGTAAGCTATGACGAGAGTAAATTCTGTCAGGAGCATTCGTGCAAGTTTACTCAAGACGGAAAACATTTCTGCCACGACGCTGTGGTCCACAAACGGCTGTATTGTGAGCGACACTTGTGTTCAGCTGAGAAATGCAAGAACTGCAGGATGGACGAAGTGCAGTTGTTTTGCGAAGACCACGCGTGCTTTGTATGCCTCGCAAGAGACGAGAAAGCTGACGTCGCTGTTGACGAACCTCCTCGGAACACGTGCGATCGGCACCCGCTGTGCTGGGCTCTGGGTGGCATGTGCACCGAAGTGACAGAACCCAGTTTTTCCTATTGCAAGATGCACAAGGAAGTGCTTTACTGCAAGTGGGTATCGAAGGGTGGAGAATCTTGTGGTGAGATTGCTACGACGGGACAGTACTGTGGCGGACATCACGTCGAAGCACAAGCGCTGTCTGAACGAGAGGCCCAGATGAGTACCGGAAAATGTCAGGCGCGGACGAGGAAGGGAAAGCCGTGCAAAGCATCACCGTTGTCGGGCTCCAGATTCTGCAGAGATCACGTAGGCAGGAGTAACCAACCTGTCATGAAGTTTCCCGACGTGTCGTTGAAGACTAGTGTGCAAGAGGAGACAAAGGAGGCGGTTGAAATCCCGAAGTTGCCGTCTGTCGATGAGTTGTCGGATGCACAAGGCTCTCAGTCTTCCGAGCTTGATCGACCTAACGCAGAGAAGGAAGAAGCAGTAGCCATACCAGAGAAGAACGAGGATTTATGGAGCTCCGGTAGCGAGGTGGACGTGGACGATTTTGTTGACGCTGTTCAATACGACAATGAGGACGAAGTCGAGGAGTCCGAGCACTTGCAGCATATGCGCGACGTTTACGAGGTTGAAGACGATGAGGTCGAGGTTGAGATCGAAGCCGTCGAGGCGTTTGAGGAAGAAGAAAAGACGCCGTGGACATCCGATCAGCAGCTAATGCGACCTCATGAGTGGCACTGGGATTTGACGCTGGAAGAACGTTGGAACGCTCTTTTTTCCGTGTTAAATCTATGGAGCGATCTCAACACGCGATTGCAGCATGCGTTCGTGAAGCAACTCGAAGATCTGAAAGTGGAATTGCAGCGTGAGATCCTGCGTGCAAACTCCCGCGTTTACGAGGGCAAATCTGTGATCGGAGGAACGATCACGGGCTGTGTGTCTCGCCTTGAAGCGATTCGAACCACTAATCCCTTTGCTATTCTCGTCGAAGAAGCTTCAGAAGTGATGGAACCACTTCTAGTGTCGTGCTTTAGCTCATCCACGCGGAAGTTAGAGATGATCGGAGATCATATGCAGCTCCAGCCTTCAGTTATGGGGAAGATCGACTTTGAACGAGTCAACAAGATCAACATCTCGATGTTTGAACGACTGATTAGTGCTCCACAGGGCAACGAAGTCCCGTCTTCAGTGCTGTCGATCCAGCGCCGAATGCGCAAGAATATCTGCGATCTTACTCGTAACTTTTACGACGAAATCACGACGATAGAAGACCATCAAGTCTGCGGAACTAAAGTCATTGGAGGTGCCAAGAGAAAGCCAGGAATGGTGCCTCTTCTCGATGCGTGTGAAGGAGGAGGACGTGAAGTACCTGGCGTATCGCCACATGTCTTTTTTTGGACACATTCGGGTCGACAGGAACGAGCTTCGGTCGGTTTGTCCCGCGTCAACCAACAAGAGGCCAAGATGACGTGCAAACTTGTCCAGTATCTCGTTCATTGTGGTGTACCAGCCAAGTCTATCGCTGTGCTTACCCCGTACAAAGGCCAGTTGATGCTGATGCGGAAGATGCTGATGGACAAGTATGGGCTCAGAATGATGTCAAAAGAAAGAGATCCACGACCTGTTCCTTCGTGTTTCTTGTCGACTGTGGACCGTTTCCAAGGCGACGAAGCAGATATCGTGATCATTTCGCTTGTGATTGATGGCAAGTCTCGCACGCCGTTCGTGAAGCTCCAGAATCGCATGATCGTCTTGCTGAGTCGTGCACGTTTAGGGATGTACGTCGTGGGCAATGTCGAGTACTTTGGCGAGACGACACACTGGAAGAAAACGTTTGAAGTTCTTGAGAACGACGCCGAGTCTGACAATAATGAAGCAGTTGAGTGCACAGCCTACACGGGACCGCGTGTTGGTGCCGCGCTTCCGATCTGTTGCCCCGAGCATCGAGAGTCTGTAGCTTTGGCAATGGAAGAGAGCCACTTGAAGCTCGGATTCTGCACCGTGGTGTGTTCGGTTGAACTGTCGTGTTCTCACGAGTGCGGTCTCATGTGTCACTGGCCTCAAGTGAACATGCACAACAAGAAGTGCAGTGTGGAAGTCGAGTCGCCTTGCAGTCGCCACCCTCGTGTCCTCAAGTGCTCAGCAGTGACAGCTTCCTCTGGACGCTCTATTGACGAAGCTCTGGAGAAATATCAGTGTGACATTCGCGTGGACGTGAGTTTACCCTGCGGTCACAACCAAAAGATGAAGTGCTTCTCGCATACTGAGATTGAAGCTGGGCGCTCTTCATGGCCAGTGTGCAACAAAGAAGCCATCGCGCCGTACGTCTACTCGGAGTGTAAGCACATTCTGAAGTGCACATGCAACGAGTTTGATCGATACTCCAAGGGCCACGCACCTCCGTGCACAGAGAAGGTGGAGTACACACCTGCTTGTCAACATACCGTGACACAGCCGTGCCATGATCGCCAGGACTACACCACTCAAGTGCGTCGCTATGTGTGTAAGGAGAAGGTAAAGGTGTCGTTGCCTCGATGTGGACACGAGACGGTTGTTTCTTGTCCAACCGCGGAGACGTTGAAGCAATGGACTGGCGAGTCATGTCCAACGATGGATTTTGTCCAAGAAGGAGAATCTTACGGTCCGAAAGACTTTTTTTGCAAGCGCACTGTCAAGTTTCAGCGACGCTGCGGCCACTACGAGATGGTCAGGTGTGAGCGAGCGTTCGAACTTGCGCAGAGTCCGTCACGGTGCCAGGAACAGGTTGTGGTGTCGAATCCGGAGTGTGGTCACGAGTGTTCAATGACTTGCTTCGAGGAGAAGAGGCTTCGTGACAAGGTCGCGCAATACTCCGGAAGACCAGACGACGTTGACCCGGTAGAAATAGTGAACGAAGGCGACTCCAGCAACTACCGCAAGTACGGACTTAATGTGCACTGCACCCACGAGGTGACGTACGCTCGCGCTTGTGGTCACAAGACGAAGAGGAAGTGCAGCGAAGCTCGTCATATCACTACGGTATGTGAAGAGTTGGTGACTGCTTCGCTGCCGGTTTGTGGACACGTGGTGCGTCTGCCGTGTCATTTGAACGAACACTTGGGAGAATGGCAACCGTGGCCAGCACAGACACCGTCGGTCCAGCTTTTGCACGACGACAGCATAGTGGAGGACACTTTGGTGGTTCCTGGAAAGCGGCCAAGTGCTTTGAGATCTGTCTTAAAGGAGTGTACAGCACCTGTACGCTTCCGTAGGACCACGACATGTGGACACGATCTCGAGATGAAGTGCTGCGACGCGTTTAAACTTGTGCAAGGTAAACAACCTCCAGTTCCATGCGGTGTGCGAGTGCTGAAGCAGCTGAGCTGCGGCCACGAAGCTGCGATGAAATGTTCTGACGAGGTGGACAGTGTGGTTTGTCACGAATCCGTTGCAAAGCACTGCTGGAATTTCGTGACTTGTGGTAGTGAAGTCACGGTGCCCTGCAAAGCGTCAGCCAACACTGTCCAATGCACGACGGAAACGGAGTGGAAGTGTCCGCAAGGTCATTCGTTCTCTCTGCGCCTGTGCAGCAGAGGATTCCCGTCTGATTGTCCAGGTTGCTCGAGTGCACGCTTGGATACCGTGATCAAGGACACGCAGCGCGCTCTGAGCGATCAAAAGCTCAGTCTTTGGTCGCCTGAAACAGCTAGAGTTCTTCCAGACATGAGTGGGGTGACTCATATTTCCATGAGTTTGTCCAGTAAGCGCGACTTTCTCGGTCGGAAGTTGAAGCTACTGGACCGGTTCAAACATGGCCTAGATGTTGGTGTAAAGTGGTCCAACCTCCTCTTCTTGCCTCTGGAGATCCCAGTCTTCGTAGTGTTGAGTCGAAAGCTGCAAGGGAAGGAGATCGATAGATTCGAGATTAAGGATTTCGGCAGCCAGCAGACGTTGAACGGCATCGAAGTCTACGAAGCGACCCAGGAGAACTTCGAGCGCGTTGTGAGCGGTGGCAAAGCGTCACTTCTGTTCGGTCATCTGTACTCGGCAAAATCTCTTCGGAATCCCACTGATATCCCGAAGGCCAAAGGGAAGAACGGAAGTAACCTCCGAACTTGGACTTCTCGCCAGGTTTCGCACGATTACGATGCGCTGTATCGTGATGCGAAGGCTGGCAAAAAAGGGGGCACTTGGATTGTATGGTATCCCCACGCATTGTTCCCTGTCCATCGAGTGGAGATCACAGACGCAAATCGAGAGACGATCGCGAGGTGTTTGCCGGAGAGAACGCAGGTCAATCAGCAGCCTCCGAAGATTTCTTTTGAGAAGCCGACAGGTGTTACGACGGAAGAGGAAGACAAGCCTGCTATCACCTTGGCTCCTACCGTTATTTCGGACGAGGATATTGACAAGCTACGGGTCTTAGCTGCGTCTGTGAGCCCGTTGTTCGAGAAGCTGAACGTTTGGTATCCCTGGGACGGGAAATCGTTTTCAACTGGAGCTGCAGAGGCGATCTCGCAGCGCATGGAGAAGACTTTAATGTCAAAACTGAACTTTGTCCTCGCGGACTCGACGCAACAGAAGTCGAAGAAACCATTCGGCGGCATCAAGTATGTGGAAAATGCGCAGTCGCAAGGGAAGTTGAAGGAGGATGGCAACTTGTTCTTGGCGCTGGAACTGCTTGCTGTTCGGAAGCAGGACACCAGCGAGACACGCTTGAAGCTGGAGGAATACGTGACTCGAGTGTGTGCAGAGGAAGGCGGATACGCCCACCCGCTTGTTATCGTGGCGCTTGCTCGCTTAGCGGTTCGCTCCAGTCAAACGCAGTCGTCGGATGTTCAACGAAAGCTTCTGCAATTGTTCACGTCGCTGTATCCAGAGGCCAGCAGCTTGTGGTTGAACGAAGCTGAGCTACGGCTCGTACAACGCACGATTAGTCGAGCTACTACAGCAGGTTCTTTCGTCTCTGGGTCCCCGTCAGTGGAGGACAAGTGGGAGAGTCTAAAGAGCCGATACAGCTGTCGCTCTGAAGCGATGGAAAAGCTGCTAAAGCTGGTTGGACTGAAGAAAGTGAAGTACGCGGCAGTCAACATGTTCAGGAATGCGATGGTGTTGCAGCAGCTCTCTCCTACTCAGCGCAAGAAGAACGCCATGTCATTTAACTATTGCTTCGTGGGTAATCCTGGTACGGGCAAAACTACCGTCGCGCGATTGTTCGCCCAAATTTTGAAAGACTCGATGATTCGCAGCACCAATACGTTTGTGGAGTGTACGGCACAGCAGCTAAAGGACGACGGGGCTGCCGAGTTCCGCTTGAAACTGAAGAAGGCTTCAGGTGGTGTTTTATTCATTGACGAGGCGTACGAACTGGACCCTGCCGGCGACTTCAAGGGCAAACCGATCGTAGCCGAGTTGCTGACTGCTGCCGAAGATAAGCGGGACGAGCTCTCGATCATCCTCGCGGGCTATGAAGACGATATCCAGAAGAAGTTGTACGCCTACAACGACGGTCTGCCGTCGCGTTTCGAAGAAATTGTGTTCGATGACTTCGATTCACTTGAATTGGAGGCTGTGTGGGATGGCGTAGCGCTAGATCGCGGATGGGAATACGAGAAGGCTATCGCAAAGGTGGCCTGTCGACGTCTTGCCAAGGCTGCGGGACGTAAAGGGTTCGGGAATGCGCGAGCTGTACGTAAATTGTTTGAGCAAGCGGTGAAAGAGGCGCTGGCTCGTGACGATTTCGATGGCTCTCTCAAGTTTCAGACGGTGGATTTGCTTGGAGACTGTCCGTCGACAAATCCGAAGCTACAAGCTGTGCTGGACGAAGTCGAGGAGAAGACTGGATGGCGCAAGATTAAGGAGGAGATGAAGAAGCTGGTGCGTATCAGTGACGAGAACTACGAACGAGAGCTAAAAGGTCAGGAAACTGTCCAAGTATTTCTCAATCGCCTGTTCTTGGGCAATCCTGGAACGGGTAAAACGACGTGTGCTATCTACTATGGACGTGTTCTGAAGGCGCTTCATTTCTTGAGTAATGGCGAAGTGGTGAAGAAGACAGCGGGCGACTTTATTGGAAGCCACGTGGGGGAGTCACAGACGAAGACGTCGCAGATCTTGGACATGTCAAGGGGAAAAGTGCTGGTGATTGACGAAGCGTACAACCTGAATGACAACATGTTCGGCAAACAAGTCCTGGACGTGCTGGTCGAGAAGGTGCAAGGTACGGAAAGTGACGACTTGGCTGTTCTATTGATCGGGTACGAGCACGAAATGCTGGAGATGTTGCGGACGCAGAACCCTGGTCTGATGCGACGGTTTCCGCCGCAGTATGCCTTCCACTTTGAGGATTACACGGAGCAAGAACTGTTCGATATTCTGGAGTGGAATTGCTCGAAACGCAGTGTGACGTGTTCGTATGAAGTGGCTGAGGCGCTTTTGAAGCAGTTGGCTCTCCAGAGAACTCAGCCGAACTTTGGGAATGCCGGAGCTGTGGAACAGCTGCTGAAACATGCAATGGGCAAGGCTATGAGTCGTCCGATGGTGAACGGAATGACCGTGTTGACACTGGAAGACGTTGGTGTAGATGCGTCAGGAGATAAGCCTCAAGATCCGATTGCTTTACTGGATAAACTGTACCGCATGGAGGAGATCAAGGAGCAGTTGATTCAGCTACGCAACCAGATGATTGTTGCGGATCGCGAAGGCTCAGGCCTCCCACAAGTTGGCCACTTTGTGTTCCGTGGGTCGCCTGGCACCGGGAAAACGACTGTGGCACGCGTGATGGCGGAGATTCTGCATGGCATGGGGGTGTTGGCAACGACGAAACTCGTGGAAACCTCCGGACTGGAGCTCACTGGTGAGCATGTTGGACAGACAAAGCAGAAGGTGACGGATAAACTCGGCGAGGCGAAGGGAGGACTGCTGTTTATTGACGAAGCGTACGAGTTGGGGAAGGGGACGTACGGAGAAGAGGCCATGACGACGCTTGTTGCTGCCATGACAGACCCTTCCTACACTGGGATGGTCATTATTATCGCAGGCTACCCGAAGGATATGGACCAAATGCTTGACCGCAACGTTGGATTGAAGAGCAGGTTCACTCGGTTCATTGACTTCCCCGACTGGGAGGCACAAGACGCCGTAGTATTCCTGAGTGAGAAGGCTGAAAGAGAGAACTTTGAAGTCGAAAGCGAGGCCGTAGTGTCACTGCAACAGACGTTCGTGGAGCTCAAGAAACTGAGCAACTTCGGCAACGGGCGAGACGCTGTACGCGTGTGGACGAACCTGCTAGAATGTCGATCTCAGCGAGTAGTGGACGAGCCCGAAGAGGAGTGGACGATCACGGAAAGCGACGCTGAAAGGGCAGGTGAAGCCATTCTGGTTGCACGTGGTGGTGGTGGAGTGCCGGGTAAGAGAGTCGCACCTGATGAAGATCCCTTGAAGCTGCTAGAGGAGCTGTATCGTATGGATCAAATCCGAGACCAGTTGACGCGCTTGAAGATGGAGATGGCAGTCGCAGAGCGTGAAGGCTCGACACGACCTGAGATCGGCCATTTTGTGTTCCGAGGCTCCCCTGGCACTGGAAAGACGACGGTGGCGCGTGTGATGGCGCAGATTCTGCATGCCATGAGCGCTTTAGGCACGACAAAGCTCGTCGAGACGTCAGGCTTGGATCTAACTGGAGAGTATCTGGGCCAGACGAAGATTAAAGTGACCGAGAAGCTGGTGGAGGCCAAGGGCGGATTGCTATTCATCGATGAAGCGTATGAGCTTGGGAAGGGCATGTACGGCGAAGAAGCGATGACGACGTTGGTAGCAGCCATGACGGATCCTGTCTATGCGGGGATGGTGATCGTGATTGCAGGATACCCGAAGGACATGGACGTGATGCTGAATCGCAACGCTGGACTCAAAAGTCGCTTCACTCGGTTCATCGATTTCCCAGACTGGGAAGCAGAAGATGGTGTGGCATTCCTAGAAGCGAAGGCGGACAAGACGGACATCACGTTGGGACACGGAGCGCAGAGTGTGCTGCATCAGATGTTCGTGGAGCTCAAGAGGTTGGACGGCTTTGGAAATGGTCGCGACGCTGTTCGAGTATGGAAGGAGCTTCAACAGTGTCGAGCCCAACGCGTATTCGACTCACCAGAGGAAGTCCGTACGGTCACAGCAGAGGACGCAGCGATGGCAGGAGATATCATCCTCGCTGCTCGTCGTCCACCGGATAGACCAGTGCTCTCTCAGTCGTCTGTGCCTAGTGACAACACGATGGTTAGAACGCAAGACCGACACTCTTCGCAAACGGTTTTGTCTGAGATGATTGAATTGCTGGGACCCGAACAAGTCTCGTTTGAAGAGCAGTTGGAAGAGAAAGAAGCTCTTTTAGCTGCAACAGAAGAATTCGTCGAGGTGGATGCTGAGGAAGACCCCGACATCGACGAAGACGGCAAAGTTGAGCGAGATCCTGACGTTTCGGACGAGGACTGGGAGGAATTGGAACTTGCGAAAGAGGCCCGCGTAGCGCATCTGGAAGCCTTAAAGCGCGCTCGTGATCAAGCGAAACAAGAGGAAGAGAGACGTCGCGCCCAGGAAAAGTTGGAAGAAGAGCGACGTCGCGCTGCTGCGATTCAGGAGAGAATTCGACAGATTTGTCCTTGTCCTGCAGGCTTCAACTGGTACAAATGTGGAAGTGGCTGGCGCTGTTCTGCAGGTGGCCACTTCGTGTCGGACGCGCAGCTGAACAGCCAGTTTACTTGCTGATTGTGCAAGAAGAGTCAAATGTTTCGGAACTTTTACCGTACTTAAGACAAAATATAGGACCAAAAGTTTGTGCTGGAAGAGTTTATTCGATTCTTCTTATTACCTTTCGCTTGTTAAGTTTTGATTGCCATGTTTTATACAAACAGTTGGCGAAGTTGGTCCATATGTTCTTCGAGAAATTTCGCTCTTCGTTCCGTCGAACTCTTCTTGCTGCTGTCACCACGCAGATATTTTTTCTCATTGACGTTGTACTCGACCGACAATGCACGAGCTGGAGAGTTGGATGAAGTCGCTCCAGTAGCCGCTAGGAGCATCAGCAAAGCCGCGAGTTTAATCCACATGTGAGAACGCATGGCTGGAAGCAGTCAGGCGATGATCACAAGAAAGAAATTCGAAAATGACCAGGAGCGGTAGCCGTCGCCAACCAATTCTTAAAATGGGGAAGTTTACGGAAAACTGCGGGTAAATGCATACTGTACTTGGTTACAGAGCGCCATTCGTAAACAGCTTCACCAAGTGAAAGAGCATTCGGCTGTATTAATACCAGCATCTTTAGAGGGCGCCTCATGCCAGTCTGGCGTTTCCCCTACAGTTAAAAACGGAAGTTCAAGTTCGAGGAGTGTAGACTAATCTATTTGTAAAAGTAGTTACTGTACGACGTGCAGTATACATATTATGCGTTAAGCTTTCATAACCATGTACATGAGCCAAAGTGCCGAATGCATACGATACTTTTACGGTTGTTGTTGTCTTGTGTGTTTGTAGAGTTGCTACTGTACTTATTTCTCAACGTGCTCACTGATACGATGTTTCTCCGTGTCCTGGTACGCGTGACTACCGTCATTTTTTCATCACATGCATTGGCGCCACAGAGTCGAGCAGCCTTCTATCAAATACCAGAGGGACGTCCATCTACTCCTTAAGGCTCTTAAGAACCGACGATAACAACGACGAGGAGAGAGCAGGACTTTCCGTGCCGGTCGTAGAAAAGGTCAAATCCTGGTTGACGACTTCGATAGTGACCCCAGAAAAGCTTCAGAGTTGGCTCGACAAGAGAAAATCTGCAGCCAGCGTTTTCACGCGCATGCACCTTAACAAGGCTGGGTCGGAGCTGTTCTCTAACCCCCAGTTCAGTCCATGGGTCCAATACGTCGATGATTTGAGTAAGCTCTCCAAGAAGGAAGTATCTGCGGTCTCGACACTGATTGTTTCGTACGGCGACACACGGCTATACGAGATGATTGAAAAGGCCAAGACGATATCACAGACGAAGGCCCTCGCAACAAAACTGGAAGCAGAGCAAATGCGCCACTGGGTCACCACTCGAAAGAATCCTGAAGAAGTATTTTATTTGTTCAAATGCAACATGCCGATTATGAACCCTCTTACCACCCCTAACTTCCCCACTTGGGTCAAATACGTTGACGATTTAAACAACAAACCACCCCGGAGAGCACGTATCGACGATCCCAACGCTGAGAAAGGGAATCTGCAGCAGCGATAATCATCTACTCTTTTGTATTGAAAAAGCGAAAGAAACGAAAGGAATCACGAGCGCCATCGTCAAAGTATAGGATGATCTGCTTCAAGTCTGGCTGAAAACCGGTAAAACTCCATTTGATGCTCTGGCCGCCTACGGTATAGCGAATGATTCCTTTTTGCGTAGATCGGCGTTGGACACTTGGATCAAGTACACAGCTGCTTTCAACGCGATATACCCGGACAAGAAGACAACAATGTTCGAGACATTCACAAGGACGTACGGAGAAAAGGAGTTACCTCGGATTATTGCTGCGTCTACAATGACAGATATTGATAGGAAACTGGAATCTGCGCAGCTTGAAGCGTGGCTGAGCAGTGGGAAGTCAGTCGAAGATGTCTTCGATCTACTAAGGCTTAACCTTACAAAGGACGACTTCTTCAAGAATCCGGTTCTCAGCATTTGGGTCTCGTACCTGAACACCATCGTCACTGACAACCCCAACAAGATGTCTGAAGTGCTCTCATTTTTAAAGACCAGATTCACGACCACGCCGCTTCTTCGAACCCTTGCAAAAGCCAAGCAATTTGGAAAGCGCAGCTATTAAACTGGAGACTGAGACAATTCAGAAATCTCTTAAGAGAGCGGTACAGTAGCCCCCGAAAAGGCGTTTGAGAATGCAGGTAAAGTGGAATAAATTTCATGAGGAGAATATAGTCGGTTTTAAATCAAAGATTTGTTTTACCGGTCGGGGTATAGTGAGAACTAGACAGGCATTTTCTATTTTGCTACCCGCTGCTCCTCACCACAATGAAATTACAGTGCCCCCTCTCTTATTAGAGATTGTTGTGAAAGAGACTCCAGCCACTCCAAGATTTGAAATGAAGCTCAATTGTCTGGACACGATTAGCAGAAGATTTCGGACTAGAAGTGGACTATGGCCGACGGTAACTACCTTGACATTACTCTATTACCGATACTCAGTTCGGCAAAAGAGACCATCAGAGCGAATGAGATTGGATGCACAATAGCAGCGTGATCTGATCAGCAAACTGCCAAGGAGGAACACAAATAGCTGATGGTGAGGCTCAATAAAGGAAAGAGCGCTGATGAAATGGTGGTTTGTCATCCAGCACCACGTTTCAAGAAATTATTGGCGCCTAACTAGGAGCATGCACTATTTTGTACTTAGCGGTGGCTGGCCCAATTCCTTTTGGCAATAGATGATGGAGCTTTCCTGGGGCCGACCAATCAACTGAAAATAATAGCCATGAGTTATTCCGATTTGCCGCTACTGGGTCATAACTCGCACCTCTTTCTTTTCCAAGGAAATTTTTAAATGTTTTAAGGCTTGAGCAAGCGCGAACCATCAAAATCGAGCCGATCGTCGGACAGCCTTCGAGTTTATCCCTCGGGTTTCCTCTAACGCGAAGAAGTATTAAAAGTAACTTACCACAGTTACTTCTTCGTGGTTGTTGGAGCTTCCCTTGTGTGACGCACATCAATCCAGACTTACTTTATTCAAGTAAACGTTTTACAAATCTCATTCATGTTTAATACCTTTTAAATTTGGAGAGACTCTTTGGCACCAGAAAATAAAGTGAAGCGTATTCACATCGAACCGCTACCACCATGACGTATCCCCAAAAAATGATATTGATAACAAAATCTAAGATTATACTTGGTGAATCATACTGATCCTCATTGTGGTCTTTAACTTGGTCTAGGAGAAGGATCACTTAAGAGAATATAGCATGACTGCAAGGTGGCTTTGTGGTGAAACATTTATTTTTACAATTCGGAAATCCGGTGGAGGCCCACATATTCTCTAGTTTTGACTATTGAAAGTCATAATAACGATACTTCGATAATATCTTTCGTATCTCAGCATTCACTTAAAACGAGTAGCTACTTATTCTAGTTCATGAACAGCCTCTAATACAAATACTAGTGTAGTGGAAGCAATATCTCGCTCGGACGGATTGTATTCAGGTAGTACGATGCAATTTCCGCAAATGCATGTGTCACTCTCGCGCAAACCTCAAAAACCACCCCAAGCAGGTTCTATCACTGCGCAAGATCCGGATAATACTTTTGGCACCACTTCCTGTAGCTGTTGATGTAGCTTTTATACCCTGATGGCGTCGACCATAAGCCGGTTCCCATTAATCTGACCCTGAAGGTCTCCGTTAGCTCCGTGACCGTTGTGCCCTTGTTAGCCATCTCCTGGAAACTCGTTTGAAGGCTTTTCATCATCCAATTCTCAAATTTTAGTTTTAGGGCATTGAATAATGCCCTCAGCTTCTGAAAGAGACCTCTCTCTTCTTCATCCCAGTTTTTCTTTCCCGCACTAGCAATCTTGCTCCTTCCGTCGTTTGCTTTCGTGTTTTTACTGTCGAGAACGTCGTCAGCAGCAACACCACGTATGGACAACGCCATCTTCCTCACGTTTGGCGAATCAGCCTCACAACACGACAAAACCGTGGCTAATGCTACGAGCATAGTCCATAGTAGTAGTCGCATGGGTGGATTTTAAGACGCTCAGCCTTGTTTGTAGACGATTAATGTCTCTTGACGGACGAGAACGGTAAATGAGTCGAAAACCGAGTTGTTAGTTACAGTAATAGTGGAACGTGTGCTGTATTTTCCGTTTTACTATATATATATTTATTATCATAGCAACTTATGACAAAGACTGCCAGCAATAAAGTTTGATTCACTACAATCAGAACCGGACTTCACACTACAATAAGAATAGTTTAGGAATACACGGGGAAGTATGATAATCTTTACTGTTAACACGAACACTTTTCACTGATTTGTAAAAAAGGTAAAGGTCTGAAAAAGGTTTAACAGCATACAGTTCTCGTTTACGGTAATTGAAAGCACAGTAGTGATGGCTTCGCTTGTGGAACAATTTATCATAGCGATTGCAGGATACACGCGGTAAATTTGTTGACGGTGTTGCAGTGCGCCAACAATTCTGGTCTAGAAATTATGTACCGAATACGAATGAATCTAGTAGATTCAGTAGATCTGGTCACTGAAGCCCATGGTTTAAGCAGGCCTCTAAAAAATTGCGGAACTGCAAATATTTCGAATTTTATGCTATAATAATTATTATTGACCCCCTACATACAAATATAATAAAAAAATCTTTGGTCCAATTATTGCAATAAAATATCTGGCTAGAAGACCAGCCAGTGCCGCAATAAAATATTTGGTTAGATGACAATATCAAATGATAATTTCTGACTTGCACAACCTTCTCATATAATACAGGCTATGCCAGCTTGATAGCAGTACTTAGCTTGCTACGTACTGTTATCTAACGTCTTCAAAAATGACAGAGACATTGGAGCGAATTTCGCTGGGGAATAACTATTTCATTTTTTAATACTGTATAGATTACGGCATTTGTTTTAGGCCGATGCTACAGTCCATGCGTCGACTCAGTTTATTTTCCATGTAATACTCCATGTAATGTCCATGTGTCGAGATAAATTACTTACCACTGTTTTTAAAATCCATAGTGAATGGAAGTTGTTAGACCTTCGCAAACGAAAGTCCTCTGACATCTCTCGTACATACCGGTATACAGAAGTCAGGAGGTCAACCATACGCATGAACATTAGGCGGGTCGATTCCAGTTTCAATAGAAACGAGATTGTATTAGTTGCATTATGGCTTGCTACCGTGAAGCACGAAGTGAAGGATGCGGAAGCGTAACAGCGTTAGACCAATCGGAGTTACGTCCAGCGACACACTCTTGTCTACATATCGCCAAAACCTCAACATTACGTAGAATCCGCAGTTGTATCCGTCTGTCTGGATCGGTCCATTGACGGACACAACTTTGAAGTCGTCGCTGAGCGTAGTAGCCAGATCCCACGACATGCGGTCCAGTACGTCCTTGTACGTCTTCAGGTTCATTGAGTCGTAGTACAGGACATTGTTCTGCTTGCCATCCACGATCATTGCACACCAATGCATGTTCCCAAAATTTACAGGAATGAGCAGTACATCCGCTTCAGTGAGTAGTTCCTGAACCTTTGTCTTCATTTTTTCACTCATAGATTTCTTCTTCTTTGACGCCGAGGCTGCCTCGACACCGACGATGCGAACGCCGGTGCCCGTCCTGTACAATCTCGCGCAAAAAGCCAAAATCAGCGCATCATTAGCCCATTGGGGCGGCTTGAGACGGTACAGCATCGCGTAGTGGTAATCGTTGCCGTCAATTGGGATGGTATCTTGGGGATAGGCGCGAGCAATGGCCTCTGCCATGCTCTGAAGTGTCGATTGTTGTGCTGCTGGTATGGCGCTGGCTGCATTCTGTGTTAACCATTTGGTAAACGTCATTCCATCATCACACGAACGCTTCACGTTTGCTAAGTATGCCATGGCCTCAATCTGTTCGCGTGAAAATGTTCCGATACCCGCGATGTAGACACACTCGATCTCCGGGTTTTGTCCGTTGCTGTCCATGATTTGTCCAGGTATTGTAGATGTTTCCTCGTCTTTTTGTGTAGTTTGACTCTGGGTGAGTACATCGATGGCTGTTTCATTGGTGTTTCTCACAGGCAGCACGGCAACGCACTTGTCCAACAGTTTGGGTGGAAGTAGGTAGAACGCGTTTTCATTCAGCACAGGCGCACTCTCTCTAGTGTACTTGGGTTTCTTGCTACCCGCGTTGTTGTACTTGGTTTGGAGTGGCAGAACACGACGTAGAGTGTCTTGAAGTGGAGGCTTCTCAAGTTGAAGACTGCGCGCAAGTTGTATTAATGTCACCTCTCCAAGACATCTTCTATGGGCTTCTGACTCGTTAAACAACGCTCGTTTCTTCTTGTCGTCTGCTTCTCTCTCCTTTCTGTTCAACCGGGGCCTACCAGACTTCGCAGCTTTGGGGTTCAGACGGATGCGCAATCCACTATCAGTATTTTTCTCTTCGTTGTCATCAGGAGTGGTCTCAAGCGCAAGCTGCTCCATTTCGGGCTTGGTTCCGGTTCGATTTCGGCTGGTTGTCACTGGAGAGGTCACTTCATCTGTTTCTGTTTCTTCTCTCGTGACTGGAACCTTCGTTTTTTCAACCTTTACACGTTTGCGCTGCCTAATGTTCCTCCATTGTTGCACGACGAAGTCTAAATGCTCACGGTACTCGTCGTCATCAGAGATATCGGCTAGCTCACTGCATATAGCCTGGAACGCGCTGACTGCCTCCTTGTACTTAACATTAGCGTCAAGCACCTTGTGTTTCGCCTCCCCTGGTTTAAAGTCATTAAGCACAAAAGGCCGCGGAGTCATCGGTTGTTCAGCAGGATGTAACCATCTAAATGAATGACATGTCAGACCCTCAGTACAACATCAATATTGAATATTACATGGACAACTCACGGCTTATACGTGGATAAATTGTGAGTTAACCCACCTTTCATCGATGCAACTCAGCGGTATTACGCTTCCTGGGGCGTTACTCCACTTCCGAAACGCGATCGCGTGTTGACAAGGCAGACGCATTGCAGAAGCAAACGAGCAAGTGCAGCTCCACGTTTTCAAATCCACAGCATGCGTCTTGTGTTTACCCGTCACCTCCACGAAGCCTGGATTTGACTTTAAGTCGAAATTGAACTTGTCGACCTTCGAACATGCCATTACGCACTCCTTCTCCACGTGTGTTGCTACGAAATGCGTCGTAAAGTGCAAAACTTGGCACATCTCCTCGTCGTAGTTGCGGTTGACACGTAACCCGATCCTAGTCTTGTCGAACACGTATTCACTGGAAGTCCTGGCATCAGCACCCACAAGGGCCTTCACGGTGTCCGTCATGGTCATGTTGGAGTTTACCCCGTCCTTAAAATGCCCAAACCAATTCTCTAAATGGTTGTTCGTGTGGACGCGCAAATGTGCCAACCGTGAGCGTTGGTACATGACCCACATCTCCGTACAAGTGTTCCAGTTTTCATCCATGTAGTTGTAAAATGCCATATATCCAGTCCTAGTGCAAAGTGCCTTCATGGAGGTCCAATTGGTCTCGTAGATCTCTGAACTTAAGGCATATACCATGTTGTGGACTAATGCGTCGATGGCGTCGTGATCGTCCGACGAAAGTTTACCATATTCTGGCTTCCTGGACGCTGTGCGGAGATATTTGATGACGTGAAAGGCGCAAATCAACACGCGCGACTTAGGGAAGTACCGACGCAACACGCGGATCTCATTCAGATCTTTGTCGACCATTATAACTTGAACCTTGTCGCCAATCTTATCGTCAATCCGAAATAGATGATCCAGCGCTCGGGACATCTGCCAATCGGCGTTTCGTTCGAGCAAAGACTGTTGTACAGGCTGCCCACGCCCATTGTCGTCTATCATCATGAAGGTACAAAGCTGGTAGTTGTATCTAATGCACATTACATGGACAAGAATCGCACAATACATGGGCATGACATTAAAATAAGCATGGACAATACATGGACAAATAATTGCACAATACATGGGAGGACTTACCGATTCGTTTTGTGGGTACAGTCCACAAGCAAAAGCTCTGGAAACCTAGTAACCATGTCGCGCATATGTCTGGAAGTCATACTGATCACACCAGAGTGTCCCGCATCAGTTTCGTCCACCGTGACTACGTTACCGTCAATAGCTGCGAATTCCGCGAGAGTTGCGGCGCAAGCGTCGTCGTCATTCAACCCTCCTCTTATCTCTGCTTTAACACGTTGCACAATGCTGTCCACATCCTTCTTGACGAGGTTCTCGCCTCTCCCCAGAAGATACTCATAGATGCGTGCGCGCTTTCTACCGTACATCACCATGCTGTCCACAGCATCCTTCGTGTCCGTGTCGTCCAACCTACGGTTCTCCGCGTACGTCTTGAACTGCGCTGTCCCCACCGCATGGTTGTGCTGGTACACACCGTTCTTCACGCGAAGGCAGCATAAGCCGTCAACTTGCACGAGCTGCACCACAAATCGAAATGGACAACCGCATCCTCGGACGAAGTGCTTGGTTCGCAATCCGCTGCTCCTGTCTTTTGCTGGCCAGCCATGTGTGCAGATGTATGTGCGTTGGTAAGCACCCCACGTCTCTGGTACGTACGGAACATCCATTCCCTGCTTTGCTGCCGCTGTTTGACCCAGCCGCTTGTTTCTCAATACGCAACTAAGCGTTGACTGGATGCGGATGACCTGGCGGGACTTTACCGAGTAAGCCTTCAAATACTCATTCCACGCCGACCAGCTCGGATACGTCACGTCTGCGGGGCCCTCCACAAGGGAGGGAGAGTCTACGACCTGGACAATACATGGACGCTTGAAATCGTCCGTGTCAGGCGAGGCGTCGTCCGAGTTTGCAGCCGCGCCGGAGGCTGCGGAAGCCGTGGTGTCGATATCTGAAGAGGAGTCGGACGATCCACCCTGTATTTACAAATAGATAACGCACGGTTAGAAACACGTTCACAGAGACCACAAACAGCAAGATAACGCACCTCAGACGTCGCGGAAGCGGGTAGACTGAGCGACATGGCCGGCGATTGCAGCAACGGTTGATCTCGTGACGTAGGCTGCGGCGTGCAGGTAACGGAGCGGCGGCGGCGGCAATGCTCGAAGGGGCGAGTTTGGGTTTGAAAAGCAAATGAAAGGCTGGTGTGATTGGTACAACTACCGGTATACAGTATTGTACCGGTATTAACTACATAGATCACATCGTGGACAATACACGGATGAGAGTTGGACAATAATTGCACTCAACGACTGCGTTGTTTTTATAAATTACCGAACGAAAATATTTTACATCATGGACATTACATGGAGTATTACATGGAAAATAAGCGGATTTGACGCATGGACTGTAGCATTTCCGTTTTTTTTAACGATTTGGTATTTCTGAAAGGTTAAAAATGTTTCAATTTGTTAAATGATCGACGGTCCCAAAATTGCAAATTATGAAAAATGCCGATGCAAAACAAACATTAACCCTTTCGTGATCGCAAATCTTGGCGACTATGCTAAACTTTTGTAAAACGCGGCAAAATGCCGCGTTTTGAGGTGGGGATGCGCACTCTGCTCAAAACAGACTGTTTCAAAACACGATAGATTGCTTATAAAACGTGGCATTTTGCTGCGTTTTGCAGACGAGTCGAGCCACAGCAGCCGCGTCGCTGATTCGTCAGAATAAAGGTGCTCCACCGATTGGCGGAGCTCCGCCAATCAGAGCGGTCAAAAATTGCAAGCTCCTAACGTTAAATTCCCATCCCATGCGTTTCCGCACCATTGATACCCGATATGTGATTTGTACGAGATCCGTGAGCCGAGTATTTATCTTGTTCTCAGTATACATCGCTCTGGTCGAGGCGTCGAGCAGACGGCTCTCGGAGCCAGTGATAGCCAGTTGCAGCTGAGACAATCCCATCACAGAAATTTATATTCAGCAAAATCACATGCAAATAAGATGCCGGATTAGGCTGCAAACAAAACGTTTTGCATTTCAAAAAATTATACTATTGTAAGAGATACAAGAGCCGTTCATTTCCTGATTTGACGCCTTGAGCCCATGCCGCGAAAACGCGCGCTCGCAGAAGATCAACCTGCAAGAAAGCAGCGGCTTCGGCGGGCCCAAGCCCTCAGCGACAACACTACCAAATTGTCATCGACGCTAGGCTTTAACGGTGTGTGAAGAGAGCTAAAGGCAGCTGGGTTGACGTCTAAGCTTCCAAGTGGCCTCGACGATCGATATCGGTTTGTCCTCCCCGGTTGTACTGGTAGCGGAAGAGCTGGCGTTGATTACCTGCTTGGAGAAGAAGAAGTATTGTGGCACTCCGTACAACATTGTGAGTAATACCTGCTCTCCAGTGCTTACAATAACGATGTTGACTCAAAACATATAAGTACCGTTGTTGAAGGTAACCCTGATGTCGTACAAGATGTCGGCGGACACGAACATGCAGATGATCATGCTTCTCACACTGCTCAAGTGACTGCAGGCAATGCCGACCCCGACGTATGGTGCAGAGATGGAGCTGCAGAAGCCGCCGCCACTCCCAGTGCTACTCCTTCCAGCACAGGTTTATCTATGGTCCCGGCACCGACTCAGTCGGCGCGGTGTGTGGCGATATCGTCAAAGCAAATGTACAATAATAGGAGCAGGAGAAAGCGCGAGTGCGTTGTCTGTCGCTATGACGGAAGATACGCGACATAGGTATCCGATTACTGTCTAACTCACACCGCGTGTCTTTGCCGAGTTGTGCACGGTGACGCTGAAACTCCATTTGTCTGGCCACATAGCACTTGGACCTGCTGGGACAAGTTTCACCGCTTCTATCTTCAAAGTGGTCTTTTCAACGAAAAAAGGATTCTGCGTAGGTCCTCAACGTTGATCAAGCTCAAGGTTCAATGCAAATGCGTTACCCAACCAGTCGGAGACGATCTAGCGAGTCAACGCAGCCTATTAGATGAGAACCGTTCACCAGGGCAACAAAGTGAAAGCCAACAGCAACCTCAGCAGAGCCCGCCGATCCAACAGACTACACCTTTGCCAGTCCAAATCGGCGACAGTGTAAAGCAAAGCGGTGTGAAGTAACTTAAGTGACAAAGAATTTTTTAATTTTTATTTTCAAAAATTGACTTTAGAGCAATGGCGATTTAGTGCAGAGCTAACTGGTGGTCGGCATCAAAACCTCTTCTTCTGGCATCATGCCAACAGAACCAAAGCATGGCCTCGCGGCCCGGACACGCGTTCTCGACGCACACAAGGCTGGGCAGGACTGGGCCTTAGTAGCCGATTGCAACGGAATTCCAGCTACAACGGCTCGGACTATCGTCGAGCGAGGAACCCCGGACATCAAGAAGAGAGGCGGCGCGCGGGCGACATGCACTAAGTGCACGTCGGAGATGGAGGAGGCCCTCGTAGAATACCTGGAGGATAACTGCCAATACACGCTCGTGCAGATGCAGGAGATGCTGCACTTCGACTTTGGAGTTCGTGTCAGCACCTCCACAATAAGTAAGAAATTGTGTGATAAGTTGTATACTGTGAAACAGGTAATAAGCTCTATTTTAATTTATATTTTATTTGTATTGTACTAATGGCTAGTGTTTATTGCATAGGTTCGAGTTGAGCCAGAAACATGTAACAACGATGTGAATATCGAAAAGAGGAGGGAGTTTGGTGAAGCATTGCTGGCTCATGAGCGCAAGGGGTCTTTCATTGTGTATTACGATGAAACAAATTTTAATTTGTATTGCAAACGTACACAGGGCCGAGCTCTAATTGGCCAGCGTGCTGTTGTCAAACTCCCGCCCTCCAAAGGAGCGAACCTGCAGTTGCAATGCGCCGTGTCACCTGAGGTGGGCCTGGTGCACTACGCTAAACAGAGAGGCAGCATTAAAATGGAGGTCAATGCTGCGTTTGTGGACGCGGTGTACGAGGCGGTCAAGCGCCACGACGTGTACCGCGACCACTTCGCTGGCAAGACGGCTGTCATTGTCTTAGACAACGCTCCTGCTCATAGCCAGACTGAGGATCTGATTACTGAGCAGGAGGACTTGGAGCTGTTGCGGTTGGCGCCATACTCCCCCATGTGTAACCCGATTGAGGGTACGTTTTACAGACAATTATAGCGTGCACATGTACTAACATTTGTGTCTATTTTACTGTGCGGCAGGGTGTTTTAGTGTATTAAAAGCACGCATTAAGGCTTATCTTGCCTTAAGTCATGACGTAATGTTTCTTGCTCCACACGGAGAGAAAACAGAGCGCCGGATGCAGCTGCTTGAAAACGCTGCAGAGCATAGCTTGCCATGTATGGATATGCGCTTGGTTAACAAGATGGCGCGCCACTGTGCGTTGTCAGTGGCGGCAGCTATTCGTAGCGAACCTATGGAGTACGGCACGTAAAGTTTTGCACTACACTAAATCAACTTTGCATGACAGGCTTTTTCTAAAAAAATAAATTCAAAAATTAAAAAAAATTAATTACGGGACGTTCCACTTTGCTTTACACTGTCGCCGATTTGGACTGGCAAAGGTGTAGAGTCGCACGACAAATTTTCGAGCAAACGTGAATATATTTAGATTAAACTATTGCCGCCGTTGTCTCTGTTCCTGAAATTGAGAGTATGCGTTCGAGGCTTGTAGTAGTCGAGTGTTAAGAAGAAATGAAATCTGAAAGTGAGTTTTATTGAGTTAGTTGTACTTGTCTTGCTTTGCTAGCTCCTTTCTACTTTCCTAGTAGTCCTCCTAATCACATGTAAATCCATACACAAAATATACATTTCGTCGGCAACGCCTATATTCGTCATAGACGTTGGCGACGAAAATCACTTGAGTTTTGTATGTGGACTGGATAGGGTAAATATATCTTGAACAAACTATTGTCGCCATTATCTCTGCTCTAGATACTCTGTATTAGCACCGGTCACCAGGGCAACAAAGAGAAAGCAGATAACAACCTCAGCAGAGCCCTCCGAACCAAGAGAGTAGAGTCACACGGCAAAATTTTGCGTACACGTGAATATATCTTGATTAAACTATTACCGCCCTTGTCTCTGTTCTAGATATTCTGTATTATGCCAACTGCTGTGGTATTTCGCTCCCCAATGATATTGTCGTGGCGTGGGCCCGAGATGGTCTTGGAGTGTCGTCGTAGTCCGCGAACTTCTTGTCCTGCGGGCCTGGGACGTGATTGGCGCCCACCCTGTCCTTGGCCTCGAACTGGTTGAGGTTCTTGACTTGATTCTCTGGTAGACCTTGCTTGACCAGCACTCATTCATTGACGCTCTTGCCGTCGGTCTTGAAACCGTGCGTGCTGACCCTCATGCGCACGAGCGAGTGCAGGCGCTGGGTGCTGCCGCAGATAACCAGCTCGAACGTGACCACCTACGGCGACTCGCCGCCGGTGTATGCGGGCTCTACGTCCGCGGGCAGCCGCTTGGTGTACGCGTGGTCCACGCTTGCGGGTGGCAGCTTGGCATACACGTTGCCCACGTTCGCGGAAATCAGGTTCACGTACGAGCTGCCATAGAACACCTTCTTCTCGTGCTGGGCTAGGTACGACAGGAACCTGTTCTTGCCCTTGTTGTCCAGTGTCTTGTTGAACTTGACGTCAGCGTGAAGAAGCCCACGTCCTCGCTCGTCTTCGGCCACTTTCCTGCCTTATCCCCGTGATACTTGCCTCAACGACCGTTCCAGCATCAGCACACTATCCTCTCCAGTCACTGGACTGTCGTATACATGTAGATTGGGATTGGAGGAGACTTCCAGCTACCCCGTCTATACGTGGTTTTTGCGAGCCTCCACTTAGAGCAGAATCTTCTTCGGCAGGAATCGCAATGGCGAGGACAATAGCGAGACGTAGAAACGATCAAACGTACTCTCGGCATCATATACATCAGCTCTTGTACAGCCTGTTTTGTTAATTCATCAAACAGGAAATCGTTTAGAAAAACTATTGATGCACGCTGAAATGGTAAACGCGACGAAAGTGGCGTATCAAGAGCGTCTCCTTGGCTCAAAAACACTTCGTGCAGCCTTAGTACATGCGCTCGCAAACAATGAACACCTCGAAGAAAATCTCCGGTCGTTTCTTGATTTTCAAGCATTGGCGTGCAATCGTCTGAATCGCAAACTGCGCTGCAACATTCCCCAGGCCAGCACCAATGTCAAGAAATACGTCGTCTTGATGCACAGCTCCAATCATTTGAATCACGATTGATATAGCGGCAGGCAGCATCTCACCTGCGCTCTCATCCGTCTTTCCAGCTTGTTGACGAACGTCCGCGGCCGAAACGTTGCTGAAGATATCGCGGATGTACGCACGCAGCCGGTTCTGGACAGAACGTTTACTTCTCATGGCCCGCGACACCTCCTTCCATTCTACTCGCTTGTGTTGGGATTCATACTCGAGTGCAAGCGCTACAATTTGTTTGTCTTGTGCGTCGGTGAAGTTGGTCCGCATAGCAAAACATACTGAGAGAGAAGGCATGCATCTAACCTAGGAATACTATAGTTGATACCAGCACGATTGGTGGATCTGGGGCTGAAGCCTCGACCAAAATTTTATGATAGGTCTAAGGATCTGCTAGCCTTGTTTACAACACGTTTTTCTCTTGCGTTTCATGTGGCTACCAGCCGAACTGCAAAAATGACGCTATACTGGCCGAAAAAGATACGCGCTCTCGCGATATTCACGTACAAAAGGATCTATCAGAAGCCGTAATCCGAAGATCTGATTGGCAAAAACAAAACAAGGTCTGGATTTTGTAGAACGCGGCAAAATGCCGCGTTTAAAGGGTCGTTTCCCACCCTCTTTTGAAAAACATGTCAAAACGCGGCAAAATGCCGCGTTTGACCACGAAAGGGTTAAATCAGATCAACCCTTTCTTGGGCATTTTACCCGCATCGCTAAGTTCCATTTGTGACAAATGTGTGTGTGTGAAATTGCCCTCTAGATAGTGTAAGAGATGGAGTCGGTATTATTGGCAAGCGTAAAATGAAAGACCAATCGTGTAGGTGTTTAGCGGCCGAGAATCAGGAAATGTGTGCTAATGCGACCTCAACGAGTACTAAAATGTCCTATTTGATCTAAAATGAGATTTCTCGTCTTTATTAGGAGATTCGCCACGTACGATATTTTTTGTTGCCAGGCCCTAGAACAACAATCCGCGGGGAGATTTGGTGCGCTCGCTTCCGACAGGACCCTAGTGTCGCTGTGGTGCGCCTCCGCTTGCGGGAAAATCATCAGGACAAATAGGATATTTTAGGAAGGCATCTTCTTCCTGCTGGTCGGATGTAAGCCGAAATAGTGCACACTGTACTTCGAAGTACATGTAATGTTCAGCATAGTAGATCAAACGAACCGACAGGAGATCTCACTGATGGTTTTGCGGCTTTCGAGACACATAACGGCGGAGAAACGCAGCATACAATTGGTTTACATGTATTACTTTTGTTGCGGCTCATTTTCGTAGTACTTGGTGCGTACTATCGGCTTAGGTAAACCTATGATGAGGAGCCCGTAGCATGCTGCTTTACATTATAACACATACAGTCAGGTTGGTGGCGGCGGCATTTCTTACTTCTCGTGTTCGAGGCATGATACCGGTACGATGATCATCGGATTGTGAGGTATCGACTATATTGTGCGCTCTTTTGGTGCGCGATTGTACGCGCACGCAATAGCGCAAATCTGTTTTTGACTTGCCTTCAGTCAGAATCCACTCGTCTCAAAACAACAGGAATTTTGTACCGGTAAGTCTGAGTGGCTTTAATGAAAAGGACCAACGGCAAACTTAGTCTGAATTCACGATGCTGTATGTGGCAGAACATGAATTCTTCAAGGATGAAAAAAGAAATTGATGTGGATAGGCGGTTGATACAAGGGTTACTGAATGTATTATGGGGGGGGGCTTTTTCTTGTTTATAACCATTCGTAACTTTTTTTAGAAATCTAGGTCAAGAACAATAATTGCGATTCAATCAGTTAAATATAAACTTCCCCAATTCAGAGCAATTGCAAACGATGGTGTTTTCTGCAGGTCTAGGTAGCGGACCGGGATGGGATAGCACGGGCTCAATGATACCCTCCATCTGAGCAGCTAAATACCACGGCAAAAGTTTCAGAATACATTTTAGAGTCGTTGGAGTAGTCAACAGTGGCGCTTAATATAATGCCGATAACGGGCACCAAAAACGGACTCTTTTTAAGTTTCGCTTAATTTACTGCTGACCTCGAAAATCCTAATAACAGTAAAGGAATACATGTAATGAAATCTGATACATGAAGTTATAGTCGACACATACAACATCAGAGCTCGGAAAATTAAATAAAATATTGTATTGGATTTAGAAAAAAATAATCCGTTATTCCGTATCGATAAAAACAATAATAAGTACTGCAATTATTGTCAGGAATTGGTAGGGTCAGAGCGGTGCAGTGGTTTGGGATGACCCTACCAATCCACTGCACAGGGTTCAAGTCCCACACCTGTAAGAGAAGCTGGTGGCTACCACCGGGACTTTTGTCCGGGCTTAGGGTACTCTAGCAAACAAAAAATGCGCCGGCGACGGCAGGCAGTCCACCAGCGGATATGGGTTTTGTATCTGAAAGTTTTATACCTGCTATATTTAATGATAAGACATATTATCACTAATAAGAGGTTATCCTTCTTGAGTGACTTTCATCTACTCTGCGTCTTCATCGGCCGACTCATGGAACCCCAACAGAGAAGTGAAGTCCCAGAGCTCACGGTTAGCGCGTAAGAACACCAACATCTCGAAGTTAGCTGGCAACAGGCTGGAGCGTAGAGGGTTGAGCACCAACTTGCACTGCGAGAAGAGGCGCTCACAGCGATTGCTGGTTGGAGGAACCTTTTGTAGCACGTCAATGTACTTGGTTCCAGCGGTTCGGCGAGGTCTCTTCGCTTGACGAAGCGTTTCCGTCGCGAAATCTGTTTTCTTCTTCTTGTTCGGTGCTGCTGGTTCGCGATCAGCAGGGCCAGCAGAACGAGCCACAGCTTCTTCTTCATCGGCGCTTAACGGTCAATCCGACAGCAGCTTGACAACCGCATTCTCAAAGGCCGGCGATTGGACGATTCGAGCCGATGCACTAAGGTGGTGTGCCGTCCCTGGGTACTTGGAAATAACAGCGTCGAAAAGGAGTCGCACATCGGCAAGGTTACCTTCTTCGGCCTGTAGCTTGACACAGACGCTGTCTAGCGCCTCAAGCTTAGTGACAAGCTGGACAATCTGCCGATGGGTGCTTGGTCGGGGTAGGAGGTCCTCCACAGCTGTCACCATTTTGATAGCGTCCCGGATCTCCACATAGCGAGCCAGCATCTGGTAAGTGGATGACCAGCGCGTAGCGTTTGCCTTCAGCGGCTTGTACTTCGTAAACCGAGCCAGGTCCGCTGCATTGTTGGCGTGCCGCAGCTGAATACACAGCGTTTGGACTTGGTCGATCAGCGGCTTGTAGTCTTCAAGGTACCGGCCGACAGCGAGGTTGAAGCGATGACTTGCGCATCCTACGAGCGGTACTCCCATGCGCGTAGCGACGGCTTGGTTTGTAGGGCAGTTGTCAGCAACCATGAACAGGACCATACTGCGATCCTTTTTGCAGACATCCAGCACCGCATCAATCATGTCGATGTGAGCATCAGCGGTCTGGCCGTGCTCGGCAGAAGACAGCCCAAGCAAAACTTCGTGTAGCGCCCCGTCCTTCGTGAAGACACCGTAGATAGCGATGAAATGGTAGGTCCCTGAAGTCCAGCCGTCAAACATGAGGCCAAACTGGTTGCCCATGTCTGCCGCAATACGCGTTCCCACCTTGCCCGCCACGTGACGCATGTACTTGACCAACGTCTTCGAAGACACTGGCTTGATTGCAGCCAGCGCACGCGTCATGGCGTCGTCCACCTCACTCAGAGGGATGTTCCGGACGAGAACCCACTCCATCCACTTGAAGATCTCCATAGTGCGCGGGTCAATGAAGCCGTGTGCTTCGAGGGACTGGCCGAACGATCGCTGGCTCTCGTCGTAAGTCTTCTTGTAGCCGGGGTGGCTCGTTGCGAGGTGGTTGATGAGATTTGTGTAGCCAGTCCCCGGCGTCTGCTTGCGAGCCTTGCCGCACTGCTTGCAGGAAAACTGCCCGTTGCCGCAGTCCGTGAAGAAAAAGCTGGAGATGGCGCGAGAAGTTGACATGGCACTGGCGAAATGAGAAAGGAGAGGCACGAAAGCTCAGCCTGATGCCTCCGGCAAACTCACACAAACCATTCGTTTTGATTGCATGCTTGACAACCACTACTTTACTCTCTGTTGCTTTTTACGCTGGGTAAAAATTCAATATAATTATTACGGGCACAATTGCATATTTTACGGAAAGATCAATTTGCCAATAATCCATTATTCCGTCAATACAATTGCACAGTTATTATATTATAATAATTTTTTCCGAGCCCTGTACAACATTCAACAAGGGCAAGTGTATGTAAGAAAGTGCTTCGTATTTCTGACAGATAGAGGCTGAAATCCTGCAGGTTAGCTGTTGTACTACTTTGACTGTGATTCCACTCCCACGAAACCAAGAAAGCTGAGTATCGCAAAGGAGCCCAAAGATGCTGCGCCCGCTGCGGCATACATTAAGTTCGTCAAGTCGTGCGATTTGTGGGGGTTATCGTGAGCAAACGCCAGTAATTCCTTTTGCCCCGGCGTGATTTTTTTGCTCGACAAGCCCTTGAGGGTATCTTGAAACGCCTTGCCATCCTCATTTGCTGGGGTTTTACGTAGAAGAGATTTTACTTTGCCGAGACCAGATCTCTCCTCCGCTCCACTGAACCGTAAAATCATCGCTTTCTTGTTTTTCGCTTGAGTGACCTTGGGGTGATGGAGAGTAGTGCTATTATTGGCTAGCTTAGATGGTGAGGAATTGTCTCCGTCGATAGTACCGGCTGCAATGAAGTCGATCTATATTGTGGCGAAGGCGACTATTCCCACAACACAAGCAAGTTTGACCCGCATGAAGAATTTTCGCGAATGACCCGCTACAATACTCGTCCTCAGTGATTGGCAGTACAAGGCTACAATAAGTCGATTGAACTTGCTGTCACTTTCCAGGTGATGAAATACAGTTCGTAATCAAACACTTTACGTCCAAAGTAAACAGACCATAATTCAGAGTTAGATTTGAATTTCTAATGCATGTACATGTAGTACGCTATCTGATCGGAGCAATAGAGTGCATGGAGCTAGGGGAGGGGACGCAGCTTCATGCTTCATGAGGAAGAGTCGTATATTCTGGGGTACTAGTACGTGCCATGCGCGTGTCGGCCCCCGCCAGGACCACGTCAGTCGCTTTCTATTATAATAGCTACGTGAATTCTAACCTACCCATCTAATAGCGACTGCCCTACCCTGTCGTGGCATCAGCCATTTAGTGACAATTGCTGCAATCATTTTTCTAGA